TACTTTATTAGTTATTATATTTAAATATAGCTACACAAACACCAAAAAAATTATTTAACTGATTTAGTTTCAGACACACCTAAAAATATATTATTAACCTTCATTGTAATTCCATCTTCTTACTTTTTTGTAATCGTGAGACTGATAATTAATTGAAGATATGATAACAGAGAAAATGAGAAGAGAAAATAAGAGAGTGAGAAAATAGATAAAAAATGGATAGAGATGAGGGAGGAAGATGTGGTGGAAGATGGTGTTTATTAGCTTGTGATGGCGGTTATTGCAACGGTGGGGTATCGACCACATATTCCGACAACATCTCCCTTGCATACTTAACAACATCGAGTGACTCGTAGAATATATGGAGGACATGTAATCGTTTCTGACTGATTTTAATGTGGAGATTTCTCATCTGTCACTTACACCGACCTTTCCGACGCTTATCTCATCTGACCTTTCCATAAAAGCACTGATGAAATTGATAGCTGAGGTGTAAGAGTATATTGTGAGGTTGTTGACGACGAACTCGTCCCAGCTCAACGGCGGTGGAAACACGAGCATATTTATGGAGATGGAGTTTTTTCTCGGCCAGCCTAAGAGAGCGATAGGTACACTTAGTAACATATGTACAATATAAGTTTGATGTACATGTATACAATATGAATTTGGTGTACACATGTACGATATGAGTTTTATGTACACATGTATATAAATAAGTTTGATGTACACCTCCTTTAAGAAACATTTCAAAAATTAGAGAAAACATGATTATTCAAGAAAAGACTGATCAATTGCTATTGTTTCTTTTTTACCATGTGTGTTTTTAGCTAATTAATTTAAAATGGTTAAAATATATGAATTGCTTTTCCAGTAAAATTGCATCATATAAACAACAAACATAATGTATGAATTTATTTTCCATAGTAATAGTTAACATCTTATAACCTTTGTGTACATGTGGACAACAAACAAACATGTGTACACAAAAAATTATAACGTCCATATGTATAAAAAATGTGATAGCATACGCGTGTACATGTTCGGTGCTTGAAAAAATTCATTACACTTCATCAGTATAAGGAGATAACAAGAACCCAAAAAATTCAATTTAGTCGTAGTCGGTTTCGTTGAAATCATAAGGAAGCAGTTAAGGACACAAAATGAGTTCGTCAGAGTTATCTATCCATCACGGGAATGATGTTTAAATCTACGGTGGAAGAAGAGCCGGAGATTCCAATCATTGATGCCGAGGATTCCAAACAAACATATTATCTCAGAATCATACATCACATTCACCTTCTAAATCTTTGCTGATGTTGTCCCTATCCTCACTGCTGTCACCGTATTCATCATTAACGCCATCATCGTCTATGTCCTCAACTCGAACTTTATCATCATGTTTCATATTTATTCTTAACATGTTTTGTTTTTACATAAAAAATTATATGAGGAAGATGAGGAAAAAATTCAAAGATAAGGAAAGAGAAAGAGATAACGAAATTGACTTGTGACCACATGAATTAGTTTTTGTATTTTGATTAGGTTTCTGTTAGAGATAATAGGAAAAGGGTAAAAATGAGATTCCACACGTAGAGACTAGGAGAAAAGGTGTTGAAATGAGTGAAAAAATGTATTGGTAGTGGAAACTATCTTATAGTGAAATAATAAACTTAAAAACATCTCTAAGTGTAATTATTTCATACAATTAAACGAATTAATACATGAGTATCTTGTCTACGCAAATAAAATTACACGAAATACTCAAATATCATGTATATTTGAATAAGATTACACAAATTAATACGTAAGTATCATGTCTACGCAAATTAAAATTACAAGAAACACTTTAGTATCATGTATGCGTAAGGACTATTTACATAACTTGGAACCACCTTTTTAATTGAGAACATAAAAAAAAAATTAAGAGAGAGATGAGAGAACTTCTCTCTTTTCTTTCTTCTCCAAACTTTTCCTCACTGGTTTCTCTTCCTTGTGAGTCAGATCCGGTGGCTGGTGGTGCCTTTAGCTGTCGGTTACCACCTCCTCCTTTCTTTTATGTGTTGCCTCCTCTCATAGTGTTTCTTTGTTCTCTTCATCTCCTCTTTGCTTGGCATCTCTGGTTCATCGCCAAGTTGCAGCCGGATTCAGCGGTTCAAATCAACAGTGGAGTCTGTGCTCAGCTTCCTTGTAGTGTCGGCGAGGCGGTGGATGGTTGATAACCCCCAGGAAGCTCCGCACAGGAAGTATATCTAGGATATCGATCCACTGGATTTGGATCAGTTCAGGTTTGAAGTGAAACTCTGGATGCAGAGCGTCGTTGGCTATGTTCTATGCTTCCTTTATCTCCTCTGGCGGTTTCTCTGCTAAAACTTCTGGGGTCAGATATGAATCGGCGATTTGAGGCTCTCGCCTGGAGCTTCTTTGGTTTTGGATTCTTGTTGCAGCTTATCTTTCGGGTCTCAGAACCGATTATCGTTTGGAGACCCATCTCCTCTGTTACTCAGATTTTCCGAAGGAAGTCGTCTGTTGTGTGTCCTACACCTTTCGTTGTCCTTGTAGCTGCTCTTTTAGTGCTTTGCTAGTGTGAAGGGACCGTAGTCCAGAGCCTAAACCTCTGCTTGCTTCACTAGTGTTATCCCGGGCTCATCCTTTTAGTTTCTCTTTCCTGGATTTGGACCCTCATGTTTCCCCCTTGTTAGCTTTCGGAGCTCACAGCATCTGGAGTGCACTCCACTGGTGATGGGCAGACCATGAATTAGTAAATCTTGCTTCGCCTGTTACTCTCCCGAAGTCACCTTCGAGACAATCCGCGGGTCCTCGGCTTGTTCTCCGCTCTTCCTCTTTACTGATCTTCGCCCTTAATGCAAGTACCGGTTCAAGACTATGTGCATGGTCTACGAAAAATCTGTAGCTGTTTGGGACAATCCCATATTAGTTAAGCTTTAATCAAACCTTCTGTTTACGGTTTTTTCTTAATTAATCTCGATAAACCTAAACATTTTAGATTGTGTCAAGATAATTTCAAAAAAAAAATTATATAACAATTGAAATATTTCCATCCTGATCTCACAAGATAAACAATAATATTTTCAGAAGATTCTTTCCTTCATCATTATCTTTGACTTGTAAGTCTCCTTCCCATATAAATAAGCGCATACCCCGTTCATTCTTTCACACGCTTAAAACGTAAACAAACAGTTTCAGCAAAAACCTCAGTCGTCTCTTTAGGTGAATCTCGAGAGTATATTGTAGAACTATAGTTCACATAGAAACCATCTCACATTACAAGTGATTTATTGAGTTAAGTAAAGATATTGAATCTCGTCTTCACGAATTCCTCTATTTCATAAACAATTTCTTAAACATTTTTATATTCGTTCTATTATCGTTTATACGCTTTTATTTCCTTATTTTCAATCATGATTTTCACGATCCTACCTTATTCACCTCAAAAACGTTACAACTTTTTTTTTTCTAAGAGAGGACTTGTATCAAACAGTTTCTTTACACTCTATTCTTTTGAACTCTATGATACATAATTAAATTTCATGTGAATCAGTCTTAATTAATTGTAACCTCTTATCATCTTCGTCCTTTCTTCTAACTCTTTTTGGTTTGAGTTATTCTTGGGTTCACCCCGTAGGGTGAACCTCTAGATTTTCAATCATGATTTTCACGATCCTACTTTATTCACCTCAAAAAGGTTACAACTTTTTTTTTTCTAAGAGAGAACTTGTATCAAACAGTTTCTTTACACTCTATTCTTTTGAACTCTATGATACATAATTAAATCTCATGTGAATCAATCTTAATTAATTGTTACACTCTTATCATCTTCGTCCTTTCTTCTAACTCTTTTTGGTTTGAGTTATTCTTGGGTTCACCCCCTAGGGTGAACCTCTAGATTCACCATATAATAGGATTGCCTCATTTCATATTTGAAATCTTTTAAAAAAGGAAACAAAATCTTTTTAAGTTATATTATGTTTTTTTTTTTAAAAAAATACAAAAATAAATAAACAATAATAATAATAAATAAAAACGAAAAATAATTCTTTAAAAAAATATATTTTAACACTAAACTCTAAACTCTAATCCTAAACCCTAAACCCCTAGGTAAATCATAAACCTTTCGTAAATTTTATAAAATAAATCTTTAAAAAAATATTTTCACTAAAACACTAAACTTTAATATTAAACCCTAAACCTTTGGGTAAATCATAAACACTAAACCATAAACTCTAACTAAACCCTAAACCCTTGAGTAAATCATAAACACTAAATTTTTATAGATTTATCCAAAGGTTTGTGATTTACCTAGGATTAGACTTTAGAGTTTAGTGTTAAAATATTTTCTTTAAAAATAATTATTTTCGTTTTTATTAATTATTTTTTTTGTATTTTTTTTTTTTTAAAACATAATATAACTTATAAAGATTTTATTTCCTTTTTAAAAAGATATCAAATATAAAATGATGTAATCTTAGAGGCTCACCCTATGGGGTGAACCCAAGAATAAGTGTTTTGGTTTTGTTAGCCTGTTAACCCCAAATCTGATCATATCTTTTGTACAATTTAGTTTTTAGTAATTGATATCAACCTTAAAGCCAAAAATAAAAGAGTCACGTCAAACTGTTTATATTTGACTCCAATATTCGTATTACCATAACCATAAACAGTAGACTTGCTAACCGTTATCCTCACGAGTGACTAAACTGGACAAATTAGTCACTTACACTTTATAAAAGGAAAAGTAATTAAGCGTATGCAACCCCATTACTCGAATTATATTAGTTATAATCAAATGTCATAAAACGAACGTGATACATGTGACCGTACGACGTCAATGTCATGCCATCTACATTTTCTTATTTTAAATCTCATTGCGCGGCAAATAGTTGATAGATTCGTCGTCGTTTTGGCCACGGAGAAACCAAGGCCATCGAAACCCTACGTTATATATAGAAAGTGAGTCCCTTCATCCACAACCACCTGAAAATAAAAAATAAAAGAGATCTAGATGGGAAAGCAAGAGGAAGTGAAGTTGCTTGGGATATGGGCGAGCCCTTTTAGCCGTCGGATCGAGATGGCTCTCAAACTCAAAGGCATACCATACGAGTACTTGGAGGAAGATCTGGAGAACAAAAGCTCTTTGCTTCTTGCTCTCAACCCTATTCATAAGAAGATCCCTGTTCTTGTTCACAACGGTAAAACCATTATCGAGTCGCATGTGATTCTCGAATACCTCGATGAGACTTGGAAACACAATCCCATTCTTCCTCAGGATCCTTACGAGCGATCTAAGGCTCGAGTCTTAGCTAAACTCGTCGATGAACAAGTACATATTTCCCCCTATTCTATATCATTTTTAATCGTACTTACTTATTGTTAATAAAAATTTTGTAACTTCTAGTCAATATATTTTTACTGCTAATCTGCAACATTGGGTGCGATCTCGGGTTAATGGAGTTCAATCGTACGTTAAATAGTAAATGTGCTCATTAACCTATCCAACATGTTTTGTCAATTTTCTAAAACCTCAATATCTAAACAGGTGAGCTTAAAAAGCTACATAACTATTAGATTAGTGGTTTAATCAATGTCATATATTGTTAATCGTTGATATTGTAGATTGCAAATGTGGGATTTGTCTCACTGGCAAAAGCAGAGAAGGGAAGAGAGATTCTAATCGAGAAGACTAGAGAACTGATTAAGTGTCTTGAGAAGGAACTCTCTGGAAATGATTACTTTGGTGGCAAGACTATCGGATTCTTGGATTTGGTCGCGGGAAGTATGATCCCGTTTTGTATGGAGAGGGCTTGGGAAGGAATGGGAGTGGAAGTTATTACAGAGGAGAAGTTTCCTGAATACAACAAATGGGTGAAGAAGCTGAAGGAGGTTGAGATTGTGAGAGATTGTATTGCCCCAAGAGAAAAGCATATTGAACATATGAAGAATATGGGAGAGAAAATCAGATCGGCTTAATTGAGAAAAAGCGTCTTTACCACTTTTTGTTGTTTTAGTTTACCATAATGTTTGCAGCGTTTGGTAACTCCATTATAATAACGATTTCCTTTACCAACGGCTAAATTTGCTTCATTTTTGTTGGTATTAAGCGAAAAAATAGCTGAAAGTTTTGAAAAGTAACACTGAGAAAAACAAGTTTACACTTGTTGGTTGTGAAGCATCAAGCAGTACAAAGGCTAGTAGCTATGATCCATACCACAATGGTAATGAGAAACACCGACCATTGGCTTTTGGAAACAGAAGTGTTTTTTCTCTTATAAATGGACGATGAAAATGTTTTTCCATCAAAAGAAAAAAATTTAATCAAGAATATTTACCCCTATTAGAGACTACGCTAGGTGCTAACTAAACGGTCAGTGTGGACCTAGCGAATTAACACAAAAGCGTAATATAAGGGGGAGTACACGAGGCGTAACTTTTCAAAAAATGACTTTTAAAAGTAAAATATAGAGAAAATTATTAGAAGGATACACAAAAATTTGTATATAATTATAATAGTATAAATTTATTAAAAATTACTATAATGTTTTCAGATTCTAGTAAATTACAATAAACACCATTGTTTAATTTTGTAACTATTGATACAAATTTTAATTATTAAATTCACATCATAATTAGGCAATCCACGTCACTAATTTATTTCATCAACAGTAACACTGGAAAATTAACCGTCTCATATCTTCGGTGAATAGGAAAAAAAAAATTCTTGACGTCACAACTTTCGTTAAACCTAACCGAGTACGAAATCACAAAATCAACTTCGTCACAGCTAACTGAGTATCGAACTGTTTATATATCATAAATTATCTCCGTTATCATCTTTGTCGACCTCGTTAAATCCTAACCGTCTCCGATATAATCTTTGTCACAACTAACCGTCTCCGACATCCTCTTCTCCGCAAAAGTTTTGACGCAATCGTATCTACGACATCATCTTCTCTGGTATGTTGTGGCTGAGTTTGATTTTTATTGTGACCGAGTTTGATTTACGACGTGACTGAGTTATAGATTATGTTGTAACTGAGTTATTGTATAGTGTGGGTCAGTCGAGTTTGATTTACGTTGTAAAAATATAGTTTTTCATTTCGACTTAAGTTATAGATTATGTTGTGGTTGAGTTATTGGTTATGTTTTGCCTGAATTATTGATTACTGTGACTGATTTATATATTATGTTGTGGCTGAGTTATAGATTATGTTGTGGCTGAGTTATTGATTATATTTTGGTTGAGTTATTGATTATGTTTTGGCTGAGTTTTGTTTCTATTACGAATGTATTATATGGTGGCTGGGTTATTTATTATGTTGTGGCTAAATTTTGTTTCTAATGCGGCTGATTTATATATGTGTTTTAGGATAAGATGGCTATTTCTGTAGATCAAGCACGGGTTTATCCTTCACGGCTTTATGCTGAAGGGGCTTCTAATTTAGAAAATAAAGAGATTAATCACAATTTTCAGATGAGAGATTTTCCTAACGTCAGAGAAGCAATAGGACGGGATGTGTGGGATCAAATGAGGCAGGGTCCTCTTGAAATTATTGTTAAGCTAGCTGAACGCAAAAGCGTGTGGTCTGGTAGGACTGTCCAATATCTACTATGTCGACAGCTTCGAGTATACAAGAATGAGATTGGGAGTCTAGTTGGTGATGAACCTATCAGGTTTAGCTTACAAAAATTTGGTGAGATCACTGGGTTAAACATATATCCAGTGCTAACAGAACGTTTTGAACCTGACTAATACAAAACGTTTTGGAATGAGTTGAATCTTCCGCTTGGGGTGAGACCCAAGTTAGATGAACTGAGGGAAGCATTAGAGGTATGTCCGGCCTGGAGTTTTTAAAAGCGTAAATGGTTAGAGCTATTACTTCTTCAAGCGATGGGACTTTATGCTTTGCATCATAATTCTAGGATACCGTTTGAAAGTGCAAAAAGAGTATTCGACAATGAAGCCATGATGACGTATCCATGGGGTCGGACTGCATATGAAGTTCTTGTTGACTCTATTAAGATGTTGAATCCACAAGGAAGGACATACACCATAAGCGGTCTCAAGGACGTGTTATTGGTTTGGGCGTATGAATCTGTCATTTGTTTTGAGCGTTTGGGAGAGTGGTCAATGAGCAAAAAGTTCCGTTTTTTCGATGGAGTGGAAAGCATACACGTTCAAGTTTTGGTACTGTCATTATTGAGGAGATTAGAGAACATGGCGAGGTAAGGTGTCAACTGATTTATTATTTATTTGTTGGCTGTGTTATAAGTACTTATGTATTAAGTGGCTGGGTTTTTTGGTATTAGTTATTGATGGCTGAGTTAGCATGTATATAGTGGCTGAGTTATTAGTTATTTTATCGCTGACTTATTAGTTGTTTTATGAACACATAAATGTAGTATTAAAGCACCAAAAGCCCAGCTACCATATAAACAATATCTCAGCCTCCTGGTATTAGTTTTGATGGCTGAGTTAGTATGTATATAGTGGCTGGGGTTTTTGGTATTAGTTATTTGATGGCTGAGATAGTGTTTATATGGTGGCATGGTGGCTGGGTTTTTGGTACTTTGTGCCTGAGTTATTAGTTTTTAACGGCTGAGTTATTTTTTGTTTTATGGCTGTGTTATTAGTACTTTGATAGCTGAGTTATTATGTATTTGGTAGCTGATTTTGTAGGTGCGTGTGAGAAAAATGGTTATGAAGGACTCCGTAGAAGAGATGTTTCCTCAGTGGCCAGATGAAGCAGATGACACGCAACTCGTTAACTTGATAACATACATATACAGGTCGGTTTGTTAGCAGATGAAACGCAAACAAATAAAGGCTGGTGTTTCGTCAAAAGCTGAGCCACCCATTAAGAAGCAGAAGAAAGTGAGCAGCAATACTAAGGATAAAGTTGTTGTGGAGGGAAAGGGTGCTTGCGAGAAGGAAGGTACGGAATATATTGGGAACAATCCAGTATTGTTGAGCATAATGTTATCTCTGGAGAAAATTTCCTCAAAAATAGACAACTACGATAACAATTTCAAAAAATTTGAAGCACGGTTATCCAGGTACGAGTCTAGAGATATTGAGTCCAGAGATATCAACATTACTGATTTAGTCAGAGTTGTAGTGGAGGAGTACTTCTCTAAAGTTCCTGAACAATCTTTACCGTTGCCATCACCATCACAGCCACCGCCACCGCCGAAGTCTTTTTTGCAGCACTCTGTCACTAGTCTACCTGCAAAGGCCTCTGTCATAGTCCACCTGCTAAGGCCTCTTTCAATAGTCCACCTGCTAAGGCCGTGGAAAAGAATTTGGTTGACGATGTTGATTTCGTTTGTATTTCTCCTACTAAGGACCCAGCCTTAGGACGCGGATTCAGGGTAAAGTTAAAACTAAAAGGAGATTAGGTTAACGAGAAGGACAAAGAGGAGGCTGAGTTAGCAAAGAAGGAGGCGGCTTCTAAGAAGAAGGAAATGGCTCATAAGAAGAAGAAGTCGGATCCTAAGAAAAATGAGGCGGCTGAGTTAAATAGGAAAGAGACGGCTGAGTTAAATGGAAAGAAGACGGCTGAGTTAAGGAAACGACATGCTTAGGAAAAGAAAGAGGCGGCTGAGTTAAGGAAGAAAGAGAAGGCTGAGTTAAAGAAAGAGGTCCCAAAAAGAGTGACGCATGCCGCTGTAATAACAGTAGTTGTGCCTCAGCCGAAACAGATTCAAGCCGACAGTGATTTTGCGGATATTACTGATGAATTTCTCGCATCACGAGACAAAGTGCTTCCGGAGTCTGATGAGGAGGAAGAGGATAGGATCAGATCCGAAAGAATAAATCAATATCGGGAGAAAAATGTTCAGTTATCTCCAACTGAGTGTGCATTGTTAGCTGATAATACTCCTTCAACACCAGTTTTTCCTCACATTAGAGACAATGGAACGACATGCATGAGGAAGAATTTTGAACATTCACTAGTAATATATGATCTTTTAGCACCGGCTGATCCAGCAAAATTGGATAAACTTAAGGAACACCTAGAGAAACATAAGGACATTCCCGCTACAAAAAAAGCGTCCCATGGGGGTAAGTTCTATAAAATCATCGTCACTGAAAGACCGTGGCCAGACCCTCGATATGGATGGCTGTATGATGAAGTAAGTATTATTTACGGCTGAGTTATATTCTTTGTGGCTGAGTTAAGTATACTATGTGGCTGAGTTTAGTATTTTTTGTGGCTGAGTTAAGTATTCTTTGTGGCTGAGTTAAATATACTATGTAGCTGAGTTTAGTATTCTTTGTGGCTGAGTTAAGTATACTATGTGGCTGAGTTTAGTATTCTTTGTGGCTGAGTTAAGTATACAATGTCGCTGAGTTAAGTATACTATAGATTCGTTTATATTGACTTGGTTTTGTGTTTTTGCATAGCATGTTAATGCGTTTCTGCGAGTCATCATCAAAAGGTCCACGCGAGATCCCAGCTCATTCCAGTCCAAGCGCATTCTGGTCCAAGCACATTGCATTTATTAACATCTGGTTTCTCAGTGTATGGGTTCACGATTACAAGCAGTACAAGCTAAATCCGTCACGGATGAAATTCAAAGATAATGGCTATGAAGAGTTAATAAACGGCAGGATGCCCGTAGACTGTCCTACAAACTTGAAGTGGTATGAGGATGTGGATCACCTGTACGGAGTGCTTCAAACTTCAGGCGATCATTGGGTGACGTTTCACGTGGATCTGCTTAAGGAGAAGATTGATTGCTACGATCCAGTCATTGGACACGTGACACCCAAAAGTGAACAGAAAATTGTAGATGCATTTAAGCCTCTTACGCTAATGCTACCTACGATGTTGAACGAAAATATTCCTGCCAAACTCCGAAAACCCAGAATGACGCAGTTTGCCTTCCGAGGGAGGAAAGGCAAATACATTCCACAAAACGTCCAAGTTGGCGATTGTGGAGTGTATGCATTGAAGTTTGTGGAATGCTTAGCGCTTGGCGTGACTTTTGATGGGATAAATGATAAGAATATTCAAGGTGCACGGGTGAAGATGGCAGCTGAAATCCTCGATGATTGAGGAAATGACATGTATGAACAATTTAAGTAGCCTTTGAACGATTTGTATTAGCCTTCGAAAAAGTTTAATATAACCCAGCCGCATTATTTTTATAATCCAGCCGCCTCGCTTTATATAACTCAGCCATATCTCAAACAGACCCTAAAATAAATTTTTTTTTAATATAATCCAGCCACATCATTTTTATTATCCAGCCGTCTTGTTTTTATATAACTCAGTCATACCACAAACATACCCTAAAATCGATAAAATTTAATATAACCCAGCCGCGT